ATAGGATACATATCAATTTTTACAACAATAAAATGAATAAAATGTAAAGAGGCTATATAAATAAAAAAGAAAAATTTTAACTACTTACAAATATTTAAAAACTAATCTATTTATAAAACTGGTCTTAAAACGATCTTTGTTGATCATAGATCTTATAAAGCTAATATTCATAAGATTTACATTTGTACTTTTATGCTTTGGCAAACATGATAGAAAATAATGTATGCTGATTATTCTTCGATTGCACGTTACGTCATCGTCATCGTTAACCCATCAATTTAAAGTCTAGTTTTTTAAGAAGATCTAATATAGCTACAATGGTCTACAAATCGGTACATAGCTTTGCTCCTGGTTATCTTCATGCCTAGTTTGTAAATCGTTCTAGCAGTCATGATTATTCTTTGAAAGACAGCAATGAAAAACTTGCCCTCCCCTTGCCACGAACAAATTTGTTGCAAAAAAGTTTTAGTTACTCTGGGGACTCCTTATGGAAAAACGGCCAAGTCCCTAAGGGCATTCAAGTCAGGCTGTAAAAAGCATTTCTCCATGAATAACGGGACTAAACTTCACACGGCACTCATGTAAAGCAGTTATTTGAACTTATTTTTCTTAATTGGTTTATTCAATTTTATTGCATTCTCAAATTTTTGTATTTTTACTGCTTGAGACGTCCGTGTATAAATTTAAAAAAACTTATGTGTTTGCTCAAATACCTCCTTTTTTACACCTGTCTAAAAAACATTGAATAGTCGTAAGCTCAGGTGTGGATGCACCATATACGCTTAAAGCATAACATATTTTAGGAATGACTAAAGATAATGCCACTCCTGCAAGTAATCAGTCAAGAGCTTTGTGGCCCTCCCGACCCACCCTCATCAATCTGTGTTCGGTGATGACACTTTCTTCTTCAAAAAGTCGGGGCTCTTTTGCGAGTTTTTATCTGGTAAACACTACGTCCTTTTAGGGAAAGGTTATACAAATCTGCAAGCAGGAGGGAGGCAAAAGCATCCGAGCAACGTGACACTTCGCATCGTATTTACATACGATCCCGAGTGTTAATTTATCACCATATCTAATTACCATAACAACGAAGAAAAGAGAATATAACTAAAATATAAATCCTTGCGTTGATATGGAGTACTAGTATAAATGCTGTGCCCTTAAAATTCGTGTTAATAAAATATTATTAACGCATGTCAACATGGCTTGCGGTTGCCGCATGAATACAACTAGAAACAGCTGGGCCCGGTTGTACGAAGGGTGGATAGTGCTATCTGACGGATAAATTTTATCCAGTTGATAAATTTATTGCATAACAGCATCGACTTATCCACTGGATAAGGATTTATTCGTCGGATAACTAACCACCATGCGTACGACCGGGCCGTGTAGTCTGCTGCTCACCAGTTTCAAGAAATGAGTACAAATTACAAAAAAGACAGTCTACGACTGCAAATGGCTAATGATATACATATTTTGTTGGGTTTGCGGTTAAGTGTTGCTTTGTTTTGATCTATTTTTTTATGTAATGCACCAAAGAGATCGAAATAAATCAACACGAATATAGAAAAACTATGGGAATTTAATGAATACAGGGCCGTAGCAAGGGAAGGACAACTGAAATATACCACGAGACAATATCACAAATGACAGTCTATACCTTCAAAGAAGTTAATGAACAATTACACCAGCTTTGCTAAAAAAAATATTTATAAATTCCTATGAGTTATTTTGTAATTATTTTTATATTTTCGTATCACAACGTTCCTGTATTTAGGTGTATATAGAATAGATGAGCATTTGCTTGCTTATTTACCAGTTATTAGCTATCCAGAATGATATTTTCTAGAATTTTAATTGGCTATTTTTTTTATTTTATCGCCCAATCGGATTGGTTTGACAGTGTAGTGACATTTGCGTGCGACCGTCGTGTCCGCGCCGTGTTCATGCCGCGTTTCGGGTATTTTATTGATCTGGCGTATCCTTTGCCGTGTCACGACCGTGTTCGTGCAGTGCGTTTTTCATGAAAACTGCTCTAACGCATTAGAAACGTTACACGATCAGTTTATTTATGGCAATCCCTAGTATTCAATAACAGCACTCCTGGCTTGTGTATAACAAGAGATTATGATTGCAAACTCAATTAATCAAAACTTTAAAAATAACGAGGCCTTTTTTAACACCTTAGGACAATTATTCAAATGTCTGTATCATTGCAAGTTCACCGTTCTTCTGGCTTCGATGCAAACCACGGCTACGCGCATGCAGGGAATTGTGAAAGCGGCTATTCTATTGATGGTATCCACTGGATGGTATAAAAGGAAATAAAACTATCCCCGACTCTCATCTCTTTGCCAGTCTTGGTGATGGCTTCAGATAACTACTTTTCCGGGTATTTTCGTACAGCTCAGATGGATCGTTTTCAGTTTCGTAATCATTGTCATAGTTAATGTCATCTTTACCCTTTATATTTGGAGATTTGCTCCTCATTCTCGGAGAGGGAATGGGCCGATCAACATTAGGTCCATCTAGGGTCTTTTCTAATGATGTTGATCTTGGTGGAGGCGGGGGAACTTCTTCATCTTCCGCGGGAACATCATTGCTATAGCCAGCTCTGTTCTCTCTTATTACCTCGTTGTTTTCATAAATGTTTTCTAGCTCCATGTTATCTTTACTTTGTTTCTTAGGGATATCGGTTTTTTCCTTTGTCACGGATAAATGAGGAACGCTACTATTTTTGATTTTTCCTTCATTATTCCCTGTACCTTGACCCCCCAAATTCTTTTCTTTCTTTCTACATTTTGGTCTCCATATTTTCTTGTACATTGATTGCATTGCTTCTGGCTTCAGTTCATCTTTGACCACTTCATTAATAGTGTTCTCATACACAGCTGCATTCTCAAGGTTGTCAGGATTTTCCAATTCTTCCATTGTTAAGTAATCATCGCCTCCACTGTCCAGCTTGTCCTCATTTTCTTCATGTTTTGGAATCGGTTTTTTCATGGATAGAGGTCTTTTGATTTTATTGATTAAACCCTGAAAAAGAGTTCCAGAGAAGAACAAAATTTTAACATGAGAAGAGCAGAATGAAAATATGTATTTGCAGCCACCTGTTACATTCATTCAGTATATCTGAACCCCCTTTGACCTCATGTTTCATTCATTCAATAACTGAACCCCATTTGACCTCATGTTCCATTCATTCAATAACTGAACCCCCTTTGACTTCACGTTTCATTCCTTCAATATGTGGACCCCCTTTGACCTCATGTTCCATTCATTCAGTATCTGAACCCCCTTTGACCTCAAGTTCCATTCATTCAATGACTGGACCCCTTTGACCTCATGTTACATTCATTCAATAACTGAACCCCCTTTGACCTCATGTTCAATTCATTCAATAACTGAACCCCCTTTGACCTCATGTTCCATTCATTCAATAACTGAACCCCCTTCCTCATGTTCCATTCATTCAATAACTGAACCCCCTTTGACCTCATGTTCCATTCATTCAGTATCTGGATCCCTTTGACCCCATGTTCCATTCATTCAGTATCTGGACACCCTTTGACCCCATGTTCCATTCATTCAGTATCTGGGCCCCTTTGACCTCATGTTACATTCATTATGATATGCTAGGTACTAAAAGATACTAAAGATATGCTAGGTACTAAAAGAAGATAATTTCAAAATATTTCTTACACTTATTATGGAATGTTTTTCATCAATGGGCAAATCATAATCTGGGTCTTCATAAGTGCTATCGCAGGTACTAGCATCGGGTTCAAAGCCTAAATTTGCACTGTCTTTTCGTTGTGTGCTAGCACGATTTGGCCGCGAAAATACGACTGGTCCTGAATTTTCTCTCTCGACATCTTGATCACCTGTCATTTGTTGTTGACTTTCTTTTCTGTCATTCCTATTTACAAGTAAAAAAATAGTGATATTTCAATAAAAAATAAGTGTTTTTAATGTCACTGAAATCACAAAAACAAAAACAGGGAGCACAATTATTTTACCTGTGAAAAAAGTAAAGAAAGTAAACTTAGAAAGAAACCATAAGGAACCATAAGGAACTCAGAACGAACGCTAGATAAACATACTTATTTCAATAAAGTTAGTCACCAAAAACCTAGAAAGCTGTGATCGCTGAGAATCATGGGGAAATGTTTTATATCCAACAAGGTTGAGGATACTCAGAGGAGGTGAACTTGTTACTGGTAGAAGATCTCAAGTCCATCAACAGTTATCAAGCGCTTGAAACATGTAAAATGTATCTACCCATAATCCTTGCCGGTCTCAGCTTTGTAGATTTTCAGGTGACTAACTTTGTTGAAATAAGTGTATACACTTATTTCAATAAAGTTAGTCACCAAAAAACCTAGAAAGCTGAGATCAATGAGGATCATGGGAAACTTTTAATATCAAACGAGTAAAGTTTTTGATACAATTTGCTGCTTGAGGATGCTCAGAAGAGGTGAGACTGTAACTGGTATAAGATCTAAAATCCATCAATAGTTATTAAAGCGGTTGAAACATGTAAAATGTATCTACCCATAGTCATTGCCGGTCTCTGCTTTGTAGCTTTTCAGGTGACTAACTTTGTTGAAATAAGTGTATATAAACTCAGTATACGTTTCAGCATTCATTGATTGATATTTTTTCGGCATGAGTAATTGCGCTCGCTCCATTATGTTCAAATTCTCGTTGGACAGGGCAAACCCCAAAGTAATAAATATATCGATTCACTCTTGACATATCCGTTTTCCACTCACTTGATCACTTGATTGCGTTTTCTGCGAATCCAGAAAAACAGTACGAGGAGAATAATGGCGAGAAATATAAGACAACTGACTACGATAGCTGCAATAACCCCTTTACTGAGGGCGCTGGAGTTGATGTTGGAATCCTGTGGCAAACAAAGCAAAAACTTTAAAGGTTAGATTCAATTAGTTTAGCGAGACTAATCCGAAAAATGGTCGGAGAATGGTGGCGCGCGCACGTTTTTGACGCAAATGTTCCCGCCAAATCCATACAAACTCCATCAGTTTTTTTCTACTATTTTCTTGTGATTCTTGTAATTTGAAATATCTAAAATAGAATTATTAGTTATAGCAGTAACAACCAATTGAAAAATTCTTGAAAAATGTATAGATATAATAGCCAGACCTGGTGTGTTTTGGGGTGCCACCACATGACAATAACAATAACACAACCACGATTTATTATAGTTGATCTAATAAAAAAAAATAAATAAATAAATAAAAAAAAAAAACTAATGTGAAATGAATATCTTACCGTGGTCGTCATTGATGTTGAGTTTGTCGGAGGATGTGTCGAAGATGGGGGCAGCTTATATGGACCTTTAAATATATTTTAATAGTTATTACTTCGTATCGATAGATATACAAAAAATTGTGACGGGTTAGTAACACTGCCACTAATGTTAACGGGATCATCCTTTTAGTATTGCGACTTCTTGAACTGTAAAATAAATGAGTCTGGACGTTCGCAGTTTTGGCTTGAATTCCATTCGTTATCCATTTGAAAAAAGCAATCTGACATTCACAAACAATGTAAAGCGCCTTTGATTATATCTACATAGAAAGGGCGCTATATAAATCATAAATCGTTTCATTTAGCATTCCATATTTTATTTGTAGGTTGCTTCAGGTTTTGTAATTAATAAATCGTGAATTTGAAAATGCCAAAAGTATATCCCAGCTAGAAACATAAAAATGCTATCAAAGGTGACTAATTTTGGCGTAAGCCTAAAAGAAAAAGTATGCAAGACTTACATGCTATTTGGCTGGGCAGCTTCAACAGAAAGCATGTGCTATTTCGTTTCGGACATTGGACCATAACATTGTATAATGCTCCTTGAAAACTGTCTCTTGAATTGCTGACCTAAAAATATCAATAGGAGGCATGAATATTCATCAGATTAAAGTTGCCTGACTGCACACATAAGTGCAATATCTTAGTACTACTTCAGCATGATCACGAAGAAAGATCRCATTTCCGGTCTTAACCAAGGAAGCAAAACAAAACAAAGCATGTCTATTCTCAGTTTCACAAAGATAGTTCCAGTCATTGAACTTTGAGCAAATTTTTTTGGCGAGTGGCCAACGTAATGAGAAGTGGTTTTTGAATTCAAGGATCTATAGTGGGATTGGTGAAGTTTTAAACTTTGTTATTGGTCAAACAGGAAAATAATAACCGCCACTTCAAACCCTGCAAGTAAAGTCTGCTTTCGTAACATAAGTTGTTATATTTTACCAGTAAAGCTTGGTTGATTCTGAGCTTGACAGATATTAATTTTTTTAATGGGAGATGACTGAAAATGGTTGAAATTACTTTCCTAATTTGTAAATCAGAACTACATGCCCTAGAGACGTGCACATGATAGCGTCATCATACTTCAACTACAAGAATGCTTCACGAGTCCCCTCCTCCCTCCGCAACCCATGAAAATTATAAGCCAAAATAATGGCGTAAGGGACTCTGCACGATAGCGGTAGTCTATGGATACGTCTTCTTAATCAAGAAATTCTATTTAGGAATCATGATGTAGTTAATTAGGATGAAAAATGCGCTGCACATATTAAATCTACCACGTCGTGAAATGAAGTAAACACGAGACCAATATCAATAAAACTTACATTAAGAACGTATTTAGAACTACCATTTAGCACTTCTGGCGGATTGAATGTTATTATTCCCGTAATATTCTTCACTGTTATCCATGTTCCATTCTTGTTTCTGTACGAAACTGCCAAAGAACAATTTTTGGAGGAAAGATATAGTGTGGTACTGGAATCTCTTTGAAGAACAGTTCGATTAATTTGACTAAATGCCGAACAACCTGGAAAAAATATTGTATTTTAACAAATTAATTTAAGGAGAGAAAAAACAACAGATAAACTGTTTTAAAGAAGCCGTTGCAACATCTTAAAATCAAGGGCTCCAGTATTATGCGTATGATGCATAATCATCGTTTGCAACCACATGTATTTTGCTGGCACCAAAATATTTTTTGGTGCCAATAAAACAAACATCCTCATGACCACATAGAGCTAGAGATAATACGACTCTGAGCAAAAGATTGTGGCATTAAAGCATTTCTGGAACGAGCTATGGGCGAACTAATTTTCCGATTTCTAAGTGTAAATGTATGGCGAAAGCTCGCAGGATGATATCCAATATCATCCAACATGGCGGCCAAAATTTCAACAACAAAAAAATTAATGTCAACAACTTATTGAACTTATTTTAGACGTTAATAGTTCGAAAGAAAAAACATGTAAAACACTTAAAGTATTTGATTTGGCAAAAATATTTTTATTTACATGACTTTTCAGGCCTGTAATCAGCGTAAGGTCAGGCCGTGAAGAAATTCAAATTTGCACTGACTCGAAGCGAACTGAATTGTTTTGCAATAAGTCAGATTATAGTTCTCTAAAACATACCAAAGAATCAAGTTTATGGCATTCATTTTAATTTTATGTTTGGGGGGGGGGATCTAAGACGAAAAAATGATAACCTCAGCAAAGTTCGGTTCAAAATTTTGAAAGTCTTCTGATATACTAAAAAAAATAGCAATTTTTATTGAATATTTCTCTTAAATTTTATTTATGTCATTGTTTCTTACTCCCCTTTGGAGCCAGGAATGTTTTTGCCGGGTCTTGCCTTGATTAGGCAAAACATACCAAAGAATCAAGTTCATGGCATCGTAAGAATCGTAATAATTATAGCATCCTTGCTTACGTACGTGACGCAACTGGCTTTTGAAATTATCAGAAACAATAACTTCTATTTTATAGGAAGTAATTTATTTTATTATGCTAAGTTTTATGTTATTTTGTTATTGTTAGTAACAAATGGCTTCTGTTTTATAGAAAGTAATTTATTTTATTAAGCTAACTTTTATGTTATTTTGTTCTGATATTTCAGAACTGATGTCGATGGACACATTGGTATGCCATACAATAATATTGAGGTGAACTGGAAAGTGAAATGCCACGCCACGGCTAGCGCTGATGATGAACTGACAAACGTGGCTGCATCATCAACCGCATGCAAAATTAATCAAACTACTAAATTTTAGGTAAACCAATTACTTTATTCTTATTTATCATCATGATATCCCTTACCCCCATATGAAATGCTATCGGGAAGGCACTTGCAGTTTCTTCCATCGAAGCCAAATGTGTTGGCATCTTCTGGACAAGAACAGGAACAATTTTTTCCACCATGTAAAACTTGATCTTGAGCGCCAAAAACTTCACAAATTTTTCTTCTTGAAGCCACTTGACATAAAAAATTTGGAAAGATAACTTTGTCTATCGATCCTACCTCAGTTTGAATATTAACATTGTCTGTTAAAGTAGCGGGGATGATTAAGACAAGAAAGAGTGCAATGTGAAAAAATACACGCAGCGATAAATCAAACATCGTGGACTTTAAAAATGATGTGACTGAGTGAAACTTGACCAGGCTTATCCAATAGCTACATCTGCTGAGCTAACTGTGACGTTAGTTTATTCTTCAGCAGGAGAAGCTTGATGATTTTGATTCATGTTCCTTATGGACCTCCGCCTTCACTCGAGTGGCTGCAAGAAGTCGACTTTCGCTTCGTTTCCAATTGTAAGAAAATCTGCTTTAAAAGTGAAGGCTAACATTTCATTTTCTTTGATCATGAGACAATTGAAAGTGTCCAATTAATCCAGAACAATCTTCATTGATTCACTATCTAATTGCTCTTGAATTTATGCAATTATGGCGTTGAGGAAACGTCTAGTCTTCTGTCAATCATGCGGCTGCTGGCACGATGTTTTATCCAATACTTGCTAATGTTGAATTTCTAATATTTATATACTTTTTTGCTCTCAAAAATTCTCGCTCACAGCACTCTTATTAATCGTATTAGATAAAAAAAATGGTGTCCTATTTTTTCTTAATTTTAATTTGCAAGAGGTGTCTTCCCAAAAGCCTTTTTATGTCTAGTAACAGGAAAGACATTCCAGCATCGAAATGTATATGTTATTTTTATTTTATTTAATAATTCGAACGCGCACGCTAGCGACTGCTAACCATGCATGAAGCCCTTGCTTGATGCGTGTCTTTCTCCTCCAGCGATAGTACATGCTCAAGCAAGAAAAATAAGGGTTTTGAAATTCTGTCGAGAAAAATCAAGAAACACGAGTACGTTACTTTCGCAAATAATTTCGATTTTAAATAATCCATATCATACTTTTTATATCCATTTGTCCTAAACGCAAGATATTCATTACTCCATTTCATTTTGTACCGAAACATGGCAATATCAAAAATAATATCCTATTGGATACCAAAAATAACTTTATTTCAAACAGTGTCACGTCAGCAAAGAACCCGGAAAAAAATCCACCTTATTTTGAACAAGACAGTGGTGCATGAATTGTGACGTTCAAATTTGTAAAGCAAATTTAAAAATAAAATGGACTACAAATTTAGTGTGACGTACGGCAAAACGATTTCCGGGTCCAAATTAATCGAAAAGCACTTCCATAAATATTAACTCTTATTTTCTTCATAGATTTGTGTTATGGTAAATTGTTTCAGATGGAGAATAAGGCCCCGTCCACACGTATCCGGAAATTTTTGTATCCGCATCAGCAAATTTTATGAAAACGGATACGTGTGGACGGTGAAAACGATTCGAATACGCTGCGTGTGGACGCAAACATTTTCGTATCCGCAAAAAATAATTTGCGGATACAAAAATTTCCGGATACGTGTGGACGGGGCYCAAATCATCGAGAACATTTTTCGCTTTATTTATTTGTGATCAGTTGATTCGAAAATACGTACGTCATAACATAAAAAAGCTCCGCTATTGCTTACTATCAATCACGTGACTTCTTGGAGTTGCCTGGGAGGCAAACAAGCGGTTGACTGGGGGGCAACTAGCGGATGCTAAGTCAAAACATATCAAAATAAGTCCTCAAACTATTGTATTTGACTATTTTCACGACATCAAACCAGAAAACAAGAGATCAAAACAACCTCCAGGATTCTACAAGCCATCAAAAAAGAGCTATTACCGGAAGTGACGTCTATTGATAGCAACCTATTGCACCATTGATACACGCAATACCACTGAAAGGAAACACAAACTGAAGGTGTCCTAAGGAAAGAGGAAAAATAGACAAAAACTGAAATCACGCAAAAGAATAAGGATTTTAACAGACCACCTTTCATCCATTACCTTGAGCATTATCACTTGTGATGGCGCTTGAGAAATAGGGTACTTTAAAATCTTATCATAAAGGGAATCGAACGAGATCAAAACAGTGATTGGGTATTTATATTGTTGTGTCCCATTTCAGACCATGTGTCATTCCCTTGTGCAGCATTTCTTGGCTTCTTATAACGTTTGGGAGTTTAAAGGTACAATCTTATTCCCAGAGAGAAAATTAATGACATGTACATTGCCGAAGGGAAATTCATCATATTCAACAAGTAAAACTCTATAAGGAAGGTAACAACAAAGTATAGCCTTTAATTATAAATTAGATAAAAAATTCAGCATTTGTCAATACATTAGCGAGTAATTATAACTTTTTGCTAAAACTTCACTCTTTGAAAAATGATCAATACATGAAAATCAGCAATATCATAAATAATAATAATCTGATTATATCACTCTTTGTTAATAATTTCTTTGGTAAATTCTTAAATAAAAAGCTAATATAAATAAAAATTCTAGCATATTCAATTCAAAATTATTAGAGATTATTATTACTAATTGCACTAAAACCACGTGGTTTCTGTGACGTCACCACTAAAATGCGCCTAAAACCTTTGAATAAAGGCAAAGATACTATCAAGTATTTTAAAGTGGTTTGTGAACGCTATAGGCATGAGAAAATATACATTTCCATTGAACAGACGCTCTGCAAGATGGCGGATCATGTGGCAGCAGCCATGTTGGATGAAATGCAGAACGAAATTTATATAATTCCTTGGTCTCAAGGAACTGCATTACTTTTTCATGCAATATGACTACYATCGTGCAAAACCTCTAGTTGTTTAAAAAACACGATCATCAAGAATATATATATCTAATTTTACTAAATGTCCACAAAGATCCGTTGAACCACCTCGAACTACGCCTTTAATGGCCTTGAAAACAAGCTGTGTGCTTTTAACGTGACTTGAAGCTGAAGCATGTTTGCTTGGGACCATCGTCTTYTATTCCCTGTCCAAAGACTGTCACCAATTTTCGATGAACCCTGTTAAGATTTAGAAAAAAGGTTTACATTCTTTTGAATTCCAGTTTTAATGAACTGTACCTGTCATGTTCAAAACAAACAAACAAACAAACAAACAAACAAACAAACAAA